CTTCTCTTTTCATCCCCTGTCCCCTTCTTTCCTCTCCTCTCCCTTTGTCTCTTCCGTTACCTGCTCTCCCCCATCTCCCGCCATACAAATACCTTTTAGTGTCTTACATTAGAAACATCATAGAGATAAAAATGAAGAGCTTATAAGACCACGAAGGCACATCATTTCACAACCCATTTACTCATATATTTAATGAAGGTTACATTTTCCAGAAACACTCCACACTTGATCATAAAAGTTAATTTTGCAAGGATTAAAATACTATAAACACAAGCTGAAAAATAAAAAAAATATTAAAATTTTATCTTAGATATTTTCTTAGTAGTTCATTGCTTATCCTTGTTTCCCTCATTCTCCTCACTTTCTCAGCTAACTCTTCAAAATCACTGACTTTAAGAGATATCTGAAAACTTAAAAAAAATTTTGGTGACGCGTACTTCAGAATCACGAATCATAAAATAACAATAATTCTAATAAGATGAAAACAATATTATCTCTATAATAACTCATACATATGTGTATGTAGGCAACATTTTACAAGTAAGAAAATTTGAACCACAAAATAAATTGATGTTATATATTTAATAAAGAGTAAATCCAGAACTCCAAGCTATGTCTTTGAGTTTTGAGCCCATATCACTTATTTGCTTTTCTATTTTCTATTTCCTTTTATTTCTCTCTCATTTGCTTTCTCTTCTACCTCCTTTCCTTGTCTCAGAAAAAAACTTTGATTACTTACATTGTAGGCAACACTGGTAATAGAAAAAAATGAATAAAAGATAAATATTTGTAATTTTAAGAGTTTACCAAACATCATCATTAAATAACTGCTTACATAAGGAATAGTAATGTCAATTCTTCTTACCAATGTAATTTTTATTTTTTTCAAATATAATATAACATTAATTCTGATTCATTATCTTATGTCTCCTGGGATTACCTGGAAATGATTTCAGAGTCTCAATTTATTCCTATTTTCTATAAATGAAAAGCATCTTCTTTAGGAGAATAAGTTTCTTTTTTATTTTCTTTTGCATGTGCAGAAATATATAGTTAATTGACCATTTGTCATTCAACAATCTTCACATGTACTATGCAATGGCATTAATTATATTATTCAACTCTTCATCATGTTGCTCAGTCATCATCACTAAAAGTACACACTCATTTAAATAATCTTAACAGAAACTTGGTAACCCTAATTATATTTGTCCCCAGTTTACCACTCACTGTTGGCAATCACAAATAAACTTAGATCTCGATAAACATACTATTCTTGAAATGTCATATGAGTGAGATCATGAAATATTTGTACTTTGGTGACTGACTTTTATCATTCAACATAATGTTTCTAAGGTTCATATGTTACAGCATGTATCAGGACCTCATAATACAATTTGACAACTACTATTGATCCTGATATGTGAGATGGGGAGACTGTAACATAACAGTACTTCACTCCTGGTGAAGTAAATAAGATCCCAGACAGACAAAGTAGGACAAAGAATGCCTCATGTACTAAAGAGCTTGAAAGAATCCTATATGACTTTTCAGCTTTTTGTATGATTTAAATTAGTAGAACAATTTTGGCTTGTTCTCTAAAGAGCATGCACAGCAACTTTGAAGAAAATATATGTACTCGTATATTTGGGTATCTATGAATATGCCACATATATGGCTATGCCATGGATTGACTTTTTAAATTTTATGCATATGAAAAATAAGACCACTGATATGGTTTCCTGCATGTATTTGAATTCCGTAAAAAATGGGGAAAATAAATTGCCTTATAGGAATTTTTATGTTTTAAGTAAAAGTACTAATGTTGAGGATTGCGCGACTTTATTTTCAGGGACATCAGCTGTCATCTAAGCTGAAGTGATGGCAAGAATAAATAATGTGACAGAATTCATCCTGTTGGGCCTGACCCAGAATATGGAGCTTCAAAAATTTTCATTTGCTTTGATCTTAATTCTCTACTTGGTCACCCTGGTGGGCAACCTGCTCATCGTGATCACCATCAGCACCAACAGGTCTTTAGGATCCCCCATGTACTTCTTTTTGTCTTACTTATCCCTGATCGATGGCTGCTTTTCTTCATCCATAACCCCCAAAATGTTAGCTGACTCTCTTGCTGTGAGAAAAGCCATCTCTTTCAAGGGATGTATGACTCAAGTCTTTGTTGAGCATTTTCTTGGTGCTGCTGAGATCATCCTGCTGACCGTGATGGCCTATGACCGCTATGTGGCCATCTGCAAACCCCTGCACTACATGACCATTATGAGCCACAGGCTGTGTATTCTCCTGGTGGGCGTGGCCTGGGCCGGAGGCTTTGTCCATGCAACCATTCAGATCCTCTTCACAGTCTGGCTACCCTTCTGTGGCCCCAATGTCATAGACCACTTCATGTGTGACTTGAACCCTTTGTTGAAGCTTGTCTGCATGGACACGCATACCCTTGGTCTCTTTGTTGCTGCCAACAGTGGATTCATATGTTTGTTAAACTTCCTCCTCTTGATGGTCTCCTATGTGGTCATCCTGCGGTCCCTAAGGACCCATAGCCTCGAGGGGAGGCGCAAAGCTCTCTCCACCTGTGTCTCTCACATCACAGTTGTAGTCTTATTCTTTGTGCCCTGCATATTTGTGTATCTGCGCCCAGTGACAACCTTCTCCATTGATAAAGCTGTGGCTGTCTTTTATGCTATGATTACTCCCATGCTGAACCCCTTAATCTACACCCTCAGAAACGCAGAAGTGAAAAATGCTATGAAGAAGCTGTGGGACCATAAAGTGACTTCAACTGATAAGTAATTGGCGATAAATAAATACACCAAAATAAATGGCTTTAGTCTAAAAATCCTGACAATAAAAGAAGACAATTCATATCATTCAAGTTCAAGTTCAATACTCTTTGTCAAAAGTAGTTTGATATTGGCATATAGAGCCTTTGAGAAAAAACCTACAGAATAAATTTTACTTATCAAATATCCTGTTTAAATTTGTTTATTTATTGCCTATTTAGCTGTTGACCACTAAAATATAGACTAGATGAATTAGATCGTGTTAAAAGGTAGGTTCCTTGATCAGAGTTCTAGATAATATAATTTAATAGAGTACTTTGCATTTGGATATCTGCTTTTTGAAAGTTTCCCAGTACTTCTGAAAACTGAGATCTACATAGACACCTTGAACAATAGTATCCTAGATTATGTTCACATCACCAGCCATTGGTAGAACCACTTTTTAAGGAATTTCCTTGAAGGATATCACACAGTGGATGCAGTGACTCTCCAAAGATATCCTCTAATAGTCATAAATTATGCGATGAAATCCACTCTTTTGACAATTGCAAAAGAAAAATAAAATGTCCTGGGCAGATTCTTTGGAATATATATTATGCTTCTATTTCTAATCTGTTTAATCAAGTCTTATTTTCTCTTCTCTGCCTCTAAAATTATTGTTTCCCATTTATACCTACTGCCTTGTTTGGCTAAATACTTCTAATTCTTATGTTAGCTAGCTATTTGAGTCAATAATCTTAGTAGTTTTTTCTTGACTAGAGAAACAAATAAAGGAACACTCAAATATGTGTAAGAAAGAGGTTTATATCAAGACATAATTGCATGTTAGGGAAACATCCCATCCCAGTTCAGATCAAGTCCATAAGTCTGATAGTAGTTCAAAAATCCCTCTTCAGAATCACGCAACCACAAGTAATGATGCAAAATGCAGGAAGATCACCAGCAATTTTGTGCAAAGTCTTGTGGATCCTATGGCAGTAGATGCACCTCCAGGGCTCTGACAGGTCTCCATGTGACTCCATGGCAGGAAGGTGAAGGCAGAAAGAGAAAGGAAGTTCCTAGGATCGACCTTATGAGAAGACCATGCCCACAAGGAGGCACCATCAGGCTGTGACCAGATTGACAGGATAGGCTCCACCCATCATCTTCTTACAGGTGCCATGTTGACATTAAAAAAACTATTTCATAGTATTTTTAATATTATTCGTCAGCACCATAATTCAGGTGCATCAATCCTTCTATCTAACTTATTCATTGTTGCCTTTGCACATGAATATGAGTTTTTGGAAATGCCATGGCTTTGATCAGGTTAACCTTGGTCCTCTAGTGACATCTTTGCTCTTTAACATGATCTGTGAGGCAGTTTATCCAATGAAGTATATCATTTGATTTCTTTACTGTTGATTATCACAAGTGCTAATTGAAGATGCAAATACAATTAAATCCTTGACAACTTCAATCCCGTTTCCACTTATAATGGTGTTGTTTATTGGTTGATTTGTGAGGATGTTTGTCTTGTTTACATTGAATTGTAGTTCACACTGAGGACTGTAGTCTCAGATATCTGTTAGTAAATGCTTCCAATGCTCTTGTTTTTCAGTAAGAAATGTTGTGTCATCTGTATATTTATTGTCAACAAATCCTTCTTCAATCCAATGCCATATTTTTCTTTATCTATTCAGCTTCCTGGATTATTTTCTCAGCATACAGAGAGAATTAGTATGGTGAAAGGATACATCATTGACACACACACACACACACCCATTCTGATTTTAAATGATGAATACCCCTTTTCTATTTAAACTATTGCCTCTTTGCCTGAGTAGTGTGTCCTCATGAGCACACGTCCATGTTCTTGGATTTCCATTCTTCTTAATGTCATCTGTTGTCTGTTATGATACACAAAGTCAAATGTTTTAGTAGAATAAATAAAACCTAAGTAAATATCTTTCAGGTATTCTGTTCTTCCAACCAAGATGCAGCTGATGTCACCAATGAAAGTTTAATTTTTTTGTCATTTCCTGATTCCAGATTCCATTTCTGGTAGTCTACATACTACTATAATGGTTTTTACATAGTCTTCAGCAAAATTCTACTTGTGGGTAATATTAATTATACTGCTCAGCCAGTCTTGGGTCATGTTTTTCCGAACAGGCACAAAAATTGACCTCTTCTAGTCTCTTGACCAGGTATCTTTTTCTAAATTTCATAACATACATAGTAAGTACTTCTAAGATTGTATCAGTTTGTTGAAATATTTCAGTTTATATTCCATTAATATCTGGAGTTTTATTTTTGCTAATACATTCAGTGTGGCTTATTTCTGATAATGTAGCTTGGATGTCTTCTTTCAGTACCATCAGTTCTTGATCATATGCTACCTATTGAAATGATTGAATGTTGACCAACTGGTCTTCCATGTTGGTGAAAAGTAATTTCTTTTTTTAAATTAATTATTTTCTTGGGGCTCTTACAGATCTTATAACAAACCATAATTCAATTATATTAAGCACACTTGTACGTATGCTGCTATCATCATTTCCAAAACATTTTCTTTCTACCTGAGCCCTTGGTATCAGCTCCTCTTTTTTCCCCTACCTCTCCCACCCTCACACCCTGTGAATCCTTGATCAATTATATATTATTGTTGTTATTTCATATCTTACACCGTCTGTTGTCTCCCTTCACCCACATTGCTATTAATCATTCCCCAGGGGTGCGGGGTTATATCCAACCTTATGATAAGTTTCCCCTTCCTTCCCCTTCACACCCCCCCTGCTCCCTCTACCCTCATGGTATCACTACTCCCATTATTTTCATGGATTCCATGTGTTGAGAGCTATTATCTGTGCTAATGTACATACAGACTGCAGTCTAGCTGGATTTGTAAGGCAGAACTAAGTCATGATAGTGGGGAAAAGGAAACATTCAAAACCTAGAGGAATGTGTGTTTTGTTGGTGAAATACTGCACCCTGGTTGAATCATCCCTTCTTTGTGACCCTTCTCTGAGGGGATGTCCAATTGTCTTCAGATGGGCTTTGGGTCTCCACTCTGAATCCCAACCTCAGTTGACTCTATCTAATTGGTTGATTGGTACTTGATACTTGATACCTGATCACGTCGACACCTCATGATCACACATGCTTGTGTGGCTTGTTCCATGTGGGCTTTGTTGCTTCCCTGTGAGATGGCCGCTTCTTTAACTTCAAGCCCGAGAAAGACCCCAGATGCTTTATGTTTTGATTGTCGGGCACCACCTGCTTTCTTCACCATATTTGCTTATGGACCCATTTTGCCTTCAGCAATCTTGTCGTGAAAGTGAGTATCAAAGAATGCCAAGTTATTAGAAAAAAGCGTTCTTGCATGCAGGGAGGTCTTAAGTCGAGGCCCCAAGTCTGTCTGCTATCTTAATACTTAACATATAAATGTATGTACAGAGACCTATATCCCTATCATTGTATATTAATATATTTACATACATACATACATGCCTGTACCTATACCTCTATAAATAGCTTCTGCCTCCTTGTTCTTTCATCTATTTCCTTTCACCTTCCTCCTGTATATCATCCTGGCCCTCTAGGATACATTGCACTTGATCAATCCCCAATAGGCATTCTATACCCTCCTCGCCATTAATT